CAATTTGAACGTGATGTATGTAGACGACAGCTTTGTTCAAGAATAATTTATTATTCAAGCCATATGAAACTAGCTTAGATAGTGAAAGCAGAGATCAAGGGAAATTCCTCCTGATGTGCGCGCTCAAAAGGTTACTTACAAGCTACCATCTAAATTAATTGACCCATATAAGCCCGATAATAGGAAAAAAAATATAATAATTTATCAAAAATATTATTTTTATTTATATATATAATTAATAAATTTAACGCCATTAATTTTATAATAATTTTTAAATTAAAGTCAATTTATAAGTCTGATTCACTCAAATTATTGGCTCTATTAGGTCAACAATGATGTGATCCCCAAATGGGCAAATCTTTCAGATATATAATTCTGTTTTAAAAATATAATAAGTTGATTTAATTGTCATATATTTAATTAACATCTTTTCAGAAGTTGGCTTTTGAAATTAGCAATCTTACATTCTCGTGTAGCTAGAGAAAGACTTCAATATAAAGTAAAATCGTTCAAGCAACAAAAAATAATAAATGAGCAGAATTACATGTGGTGCTAATACTACAAGTAATAGCCAATAGGGACCGAGATTTTTTTAGATTAATTATTATATATAAGGCTGACTCAATTTTCAAATAAATGGTGAGCATTCGACTATAATGTAGAATTTTCAAATAAATGGTGAGTATTTCAAACACTTGAATCTAGCTAGTCAATTACCCTTTGATCCATAATGTATAATTTTTTTTAGAAAGTCAGTTTACACTTATTATAATTATCCAAACAATATCTGGGATTTGAATTTTGAAAAGAGGATGCAACAAATCCAAACGGGGCCATAATAGATCATAATTAATTGAACGATATTCTTGGAAAGCATCCTGACTATATATGCAAATTAACAATTTACTTTACAGACCAAAAAAGTAGTCAATGTTTGATTATTTATAGTATGAAGGCTCAACACGAGCCATGGAAAACATATATAGTCATGGTCATCTTACTTTCAATAGTATATAGATATATGATCAATGCTTTACTTCGAAGTTCCTTAAAGATCTATCTTGAAGCTTATTACCATTGCTTTAGCTACTTTTCTAAATTAAAGTAGTAGTGTGTAGAATAAAATAATATTATATATCTTAAAATTTTAATTAAAGATTCAACTCAATTTGAATCAGTTTGATTTACAACTTACAATTCCTTTAGGTAGTGTTTTGATTGATGAATTTAGATTTAGATTTTAGATTTAAAATATTATATTTCAAATCTCACATTTAAAATTCATGTATTTAAAATTATTTGTTTGGATAGTGTAAATTATTTTCAAATGAAGAAAAGAAATGAATTGAGATTTGAAATAAAAATTAAAAATTAAAAATGATGAGTTTATTTTTAATTTTTAATAGACAAAAGATGAGAAAATATACAAAAGTCATCATGGTATTCATGGTGAATACGAGAAGAGAACATGTGATTTGAATGTCAAATAACTAAAGTGTAGAGGGAATTTGAAATTATAATTTGAATAAATTTTTGTGTATTTAAATGAGAAATTTGGTCTAAATCTAAATCCAAATCCCCATTAATTCAAACACACCATTAAGATAATCCTACATTTTGACAATCTTTGCTCTCTTGTTGCTTAGAAGTTTCTAATTCTAGAAGGATTTATACTGGTTGGTGTATATTTTGTTAGACAATATAGTTGTGAATCTAATAGGTACTGAAAGTAAAGGGTTAAATCTCTCTAATTAGATTGTTGTTGTTATATCTATATATATATATATATATAAGATTTGAGATTTAAATCCTCAAATATTCCCTTAAGTAATGAAAGGTCTTACACGTACACTATACATGCCAATTTAAGTTTGAAGGAATACTAGACATAAATAATATACCAAATAACAAAGTTGGGCCAAAGTCTAACCAGATTTGTAAGTAGCAAAATCTACTCAACTATCACAAATTTAGACTTCTAGATTGAACAATGGGAGAGAACTGTTTGCCCTAGGGTACATTTTCTTACTTCAACCATCCTTTTCTATTTATAGTGAAGGGGAGGTCACTATAGAAAAGAAAAATCCTCAACATTAAAATGCTTGATTATATAGGAAATAATTGAATGGAATAATCACCATAAGGGCAGAGGAATATTTCTTATTCTTTGAATTCAATCAAAAATCAATCACTTATTAATTTCAGATTTTGGTCAAATCATTATTACCGAAATCTTGTTAGATTCACTAATTGCTCTAAGATTATAATATAATTTCCGTCAAAGGCAGATCCACAAATTCCAACAAAGTTTGATAAAAAATGTTATTTTAATTGATAGTGAATGACTTCCTTTGCACCCAAATAAAAAAATTAAAAAAGACAGAACAATAGTTGTTTTTTTTTTTTGAATAAAGTTTAGGTGAGTTTGCTTACAGCTTTTTTTTTTTCTTTTAACGGAATAAAGTTTAGGTAAGTTGGACACGCTTTTAGGCTTAAAGAGCAAATGACAATGAGGTTTAAAATATTGAATTAGTGATAGTTAATTTTCTAGCAAATTTTTTTTAAACAAATGTGTTTTAAATGTCAATTGAGACAATTACAAACATGAATTTCATTACAATATGAGAACTACCTTTAAAACTTATAAATATGTTATCTATAATTACATCCTTCAATTTGTAATTGTTTGAGTAGAATTTTTTTAACTCATTTTTTTTCAAAAATATCAAAAACCTAATTGTTATTAATTAAATCTTTTAGGACCTTGTCGTTATTTTCCCTAGAGACACCAACGTCCATTATTGTTTATTCCTACTTATCTTATTTATAATGCAAAAATAGGATTTGTTTGATCCTATTTATAAGTCAACTGATTAATTTTTTATCATAAATTTTTTCTTTTACCTTCTATTAAATGTTGATAAGAGAAAATATATTATTAAAACATGTATATTTAATAGGAATAAAGCTAAAAACTTATTAGAATTAAAAAATTAACACTTTCTTTACTTCCAATAAAATATATTGGAAGTTATTTATAAAATAAAAATAAAAGGAGTACTCCTTCCATTCAAAAATATAAGACATTTTTTGAGTTGGATGTTCAAAAATATAAGGCATTTTTAGTCTTTTAAGGTGTAATTATTGCCTTTTTTAAAAGTGCCCCTATTGATAATAATTTTATATTTATTGAAGGGTGTTTAATAGGGGTAAATATATAAAGATAAGGTTAGTTAGAAAGCAAGTAACTACTTTATTAGGGGTGAGATTCGGTTAAAAATGTCTTACATTTTTTAATGGAGAGAGTGTCTTAATCATCATTTTTTTGGCTAGCATGTTTATCATCCTTCAATTTATAATATATACTACTCTGCATAGTCCATACGTATTGCCGTACAGGAGTGTGTGAATATTTCTCATCAATAATCATATTTGAAGCTAAATATTCTAATGCATTATTAAGATTGTCCCCTACACGTGGTTCCATGTGGTTCCACTAAAGAAAGCGAAAATTTTAAGTTACAATTTTTTTTAAAAAAATAGAATGACGCAAAAAATGGGGTTATATAGTATTGGAGTTTCTACAGCAAAATCTTAGTTGATGCTACGTATCAGATTCAGGAATAGTTTGATATGTGACATAGAAAATTATCAAAATAAAAACAACATTATAGTACTTTTTCTTTAAAAATAGTAAAAAAAATAAAACACATAATTAACTAATATAACAACGAAAACAGACGTTAAAAAAAAAAACAATCTTTCTTAGCTAATTTTTAAAGATCATGATTTTCTTAAAAATATTATATAAAAGAAGCCGTTGAATAAATAATATTTGTTTGAGGGAACAAATCACACGGGAGGAAATTAACTTAAAAACCAATTAAAATTGAAGTTTCATGGAAGCAACAAACACAAGAATAAAATAATATCATCAATGTCCCTTCGAACATATAAATAAGCCATCTTTCACAGCTCATGTGTGCTTCTGTACTCCCACAGCAAACTCGTCAGCTTCTGAAAATGATTCCTAACAATTATTCTGCTTTTGAATCGCCATTTCTTCAGCAACACAATGATCCTTCCTCTGCGTCTCTCATGAATAATAATAATAATTCCTTCTTCAAGACCACCTCTACTTCTAACCCTATCGGCGACGTCACCGCTTCGCCGGAACATGGCGTTCGTTGTAACTCCGGCGGTACTGTGTTTTCCAGTGAACGGCATGAAAACACCATGAAACCAGGTGGTAGTGATGGGGCTGATGTTAACACTGCTGCAGATCAGTCTGTGGCACGTGAAGGGAACGCGCCGCCTAGATGGAGGAGTTACAGAGGCGTGAGGCGTCGGCCATGGGGGAAGTTTGCTGCGGAGATCCGGGACCCAGCGAGGAACGGCGCGAGAACGTGGTTAGGGACTTACGAGAGGGAAGAGGATGCAGCTTTGGCTTATGACAAAGCCGCTTTCAAGATGAAGGGTAGAAAAGCAAAGCTCAATTTTCCTCACCTCATTGGGTCGGAACCACCACCGCGGGAGCCGACAAGAGTAGTCGCCCACCAGAAGCGGCGACACTCGTCGGAACCGTCATCATGGTCGCCAGAGAAGGATGATGATGGATCTCAAGGGTCAAGTAAGAAGAAGAGCCTGGTTGGTCTGTTGAATAAGTTGGCAACCAATAGAAGCCACGTTAGAAGCTTGAAATGATCGTGTTGATGAAGGCATAACATGGGTCTTTTTCTCCATTTTTTTCTCTTCCAATAAAAGCAAAATCATTCATCTTGCTTATTGCTTTATTGTTCTATTAAACATCTACCCTAGGTTGCACAGATACGGGTACGAGTATCGGATACGATACGGCATGATACGGGGATACGGCAAATTTTTAAAATTTTAGGATACGGGTATGGCAATATATAATATTTTTTTATATAAATGTAAATAATATGTCAACAATCAAAATGCATAGCAATCCAAAAAAATACAAAATACTATCAAATGCATCACATTTCATCATTCTCATTTTCCATTACATTACTAGGCTCTCCTATAATTTCTTGCTCTAAAATAGGTTCATCAAGTGACAAGCTTGCCATCTCAAGGCTATTGACAGCATCAAATGGCTCCATAGTGTCTCCACCAATATCCCACATTCTACTTTGCCCAATGCGATACTTTTCACTCTTCCTTGACAAGAGACGAAGATTAGTATGCATGAAAACTAAGTCTTCAGCTCTTTTAGGAGTGATCTTGTTTCTCTTCAATGAGTAGATAAAGGAGTAAGTGCTCCAATTTCTTTCACAACAAGAGGAAGAGCACGGTTGGCCTAGAAGTTTCAATGCAAGCCTCTGAAGAATAGGGGTGAAAGAACCATAATTTAACCACCACCCTTTAGGTTCTAAATTCCACCTATCTTGCAAGCAATCAAATGATGAATAGAAGTCTAAACTTCCAACAAATTTTGGGAACTCTTGAAAGACCGCCTTTCTCTCCTCAGGATCAGTAAAGTACCTATAAAGGCACTTTACTCTCTCAGATGATATTTCATTATTTAAATGAGGCGGAATTCTATTGGGAGCACCTTCAAGCCATTGGGGTGTATAATACCTATAACATTTGCAAACAAAAAGGATTAAGAACAAAACTAAATAATTCATGAATGAAAAATATTGCAATAGTAATATAACTAACCTAGGATTCAATGAATGTGCAAGACAATGAAGGGGAGTGCAACTTTTTGTCCATCGATCAATAATGATCCTATAACAACATCAAAGAAAGCTGAATACTTAGAAAGCTCCTTATTCTCATGCTTGTAGATGGACTCCTTCACTTGTTCTATCATTGAATCCCACATTTCATAAATTAAATGAAGTATAGGCTTATTTGTGTCAGCCATCCGAAGCATGTCATAAATCGGTCCAGTGAAAGAAAGTATATAATCCACCTTATCCCACCAAGAGTCATTAAGGATCAAGTTTTTCACTGTGGCTGCCTTTCCAACATCATCTTCCTTATAAGCATTCCATGCTTCACTTATCACCATTGTACGAAGTGAAGTTTTAATGAGCTTGAGTCTTTTGAGCATAACAATGGTGGATGCAAAGCGAGTGTCAGCTATGGCAAGTAATTTTAATGGCATAAATTCATTAAAAATTGCCAATCGCATAGAATGACACATGATAAATGTTCTAATAAAAGCAGCATCATCCTTAACCTCCTCTATCCAATGGCATTCATCATACATAATCTCATTTGCCTCTGTGTTTTTTGCTGCACATATATTCTTTAATGCAAGATTAAGTGTATGCACAACACATGGCGTCCAGAAAATAGTGGGATACTCAGCCTCTATAAGCCTACCTGCTGATTTGCAAACAGATGCATTGTCAGTGATTATTTGAACCACATTTTGAGGCTTGACCTCTTCAATCACTTGACGCATCAAGTCAGCCATATAATGTCTGTCTTTATATTCTTTAGATCCATCAACTGCCTTCAAAAACATGGGATCCCCATCAGACATAGCCATAAAATTAATCAGAGGCCTCCTTTGAGCGTCTGTCCAACCATCTGTGACTATGCTCACTCCTTTCAAACTCCAAGTTCCTTTAATTGGTTCAAGTAACTTCTCTGTGTGAGCTCTTTCTCTTTGTAACAATGGACCCCTTAATGCATTATAACCAGGAGGTTTGTATCCAGGAATGATGTTGTTCGCAGCATATTGATATGAACTAATGAAATATGGATTGCGTGACAAATGAAAAGATAGACCACCTGTATAAAACATTCTTGCAATTTCAGCATGTAGATTTTCTCTTGCCCCTTGTTGGAAGGCCTTTTCTAATGGACTTACTGCCCTTCTCTTACTTTGGTTGCTTTCACTTGTCATAGGATATAAGGGAGATGAACCTTCAGCCAGGGGTGGTAATGGCACTTGCTTTGACTTGGTCTTCTCATCAGCATCTTCGTGTAATTTTCTCATCTCAGCTAGGCAATACTCATCAACTTTCGAGCATATAGCAATTCCCTTGCCAGAAGTTTTTAACAAGTGCCACTTAACTCTAGAATAAGAGCCATTGAATTCTTTGTTACAATAATTGCACCTCCAATATCTATTTCCACCTCCTGGTATGTCTCTATTTTTATTCACCAAAGTGACATAGCACCATAAGGGAGTTCCATCTTTTTGTAGCTCATTTATAGAAGAAAAACGGGCTACTGAATTAATATTTCCCCCAGAACTATTTGCTGTAGCCATAGCTAATTAAAAAAAATTGAGATAAACTAAAATTAAATATGACTAAAAGCATTGAAATGCAGATTGAGATTTGAGCAAAATAACATGTAACATAAAAATAGAAAGCAAGCATGTATTAAATATAAATTCTGCACATGAACATTGCAATCTAATATATTAAATTAATAAATAAAAATTAAATTTAGAGAAGAGGGCAGACCATGAGCTTCGGTCAAAAGGAAAAAAAAAACTGGACATGAGAGTTGAAGCAAAGTTTAAGTCTTTAACATAAATCAAAAATAAAATAATAAAATCTATTCATTTTTCAGTTTCAGGCTTTGAGAGTTGAGAGACACGAGAGAGAGAGAGAGAGAGAGAGAGAGAGAAGTGTAAACCAGTGAACGCCTGAACGGACGAAAGACTGACGCCGGTGAGCTGAGCAACTAAGAATGCGTAGGAGGCTAGGAGCACGAAAGAACCAGGCGCACGGCAGGTCGGAGGACAACAACGGCGCGATCTGGGAAGGTTCGATCTGATTTCGCGAACTCAGTGTAAGAGAACGACGGCCGACTGATTTCGCGAGTTGGAAGAGAAGGTCAGAATCAGAAGTGAGTGAGGTTCAATCTGCTTATTTAGGCAATTTTTTTATGCAAAATGCAGCGTCCAGCGTCGAAGCCGTGTCAGCCGTGTCTCGCCGTGTCTCGCCGTGTCGCGCCGTGTCGCCCAAACAAAAAACATATCGGACACGGACGTACTCGCACGGAGCGAGTATCCGTGTCCGGTGCGTATCCGACACGAATACGCCACCAAAATTGGCGTATCCGTGCTTCCTAGCATCTACCTCCAATTACATCCAAGTGCCAAGTCGGCAACATATTTCAACAAAGTTTTGGGCACACCCTTTCTCTCCTAGGGTTTCCATTCCCTTGTGAGAGTAAGTCGCCGGCGGCCAAGCTTGCAGAGTGTGCTTTGCCAGGGGTTTCTCTTTCTCCCTTCCCTCATCACCGGAGGGCACTCCTCATGATCGGCGAGTCGTGTTCCTTCGACCCATGGCTCGGAGCTGTGGTTTGGTTTTGGTGTGGGTTAAGCTACGGTGTGTGTGAAGGAAATCAGGACAAGATGTGAATGATTTGGGTCTGGATCGGGAAATCAAGAGATGCGAACTTGTGGTGACGTGTGGACTTCAAGCTTGGAACAATCTCTTCGTTTGGATTTGGCTATGCGCGGAGAAACTGTGGAGATTCCTTGAGGGTGCTGGGAGGGAAGATTCCAAAAGGCAGTTACTGGTTGGTGTGCTTGAAAGATTGGGTTAAAATCCTTGTTGATGATCTCTCAAATCTCTCGAAGGCTAGGAAACATGTTCTTGACTTTTTGGTTCTTTGTTTTGTTTTGTTTTTTGTTTTTTTTTTTGGGGCTGTTGCTGGTCTTTCTTCTTCTTGATATTACTATTCTTCTGCGATCTACTCTATTTTCTGTTTCCGGTGCTTTTGCTGCCTATTAATGAGATACACTTCCTTTGATTGCCGGGGTCAAAAACAGAAGAAAAAAAAGGTATAGATCCAGTTTTAAAATTGCTGTAAAATATTCATCTATACGGTTTCGATGCTGATCGCTGTGGTGAGATCTATATCGTTAAAATCCAGTTTTTACAGTTCAGATAAGTTTCGAACAAATAGACTTATTTTTTTTCAAATCAAGTGATGGCAAAGAAATTATTTTCAGTTTTAATTCTATATCTAATAAAATAAAAGATATAAAAACAATTATTATTAGATTTAGGTCAAAGTAATGATTCAGGCTTAATAGTTAAAACCGTGATCAAATCAATCATAGACGAAAATAGTTTATTAAACCAGTTAAAATACTCATTTGATTTTAGCACTAATAAAGATCGGGGTGAGGAGAGGACTGGAAGGGGCTATGGGCCCCATCAAGTTTTTAATTTTTTCTTGGTATTGTTTAGGCAATATGTTTTTTCCAGCCCCTCAACATTTACATGCACTTTGTATAATATGTGTGTGTATTTTTTTTTTTTAAGGTATCTTCACAGCTAATAGTCATATGAGATTAATTTCTACAGAAATCCTCTATCATCTAGCCATGCTCTCCATACATCAGTGGCGGGCCAGAACCTGAAACCAAGAGGTGCGGGATAATTTAATCAAAAAAAAATAATATTTTTAAAAAATAATAATTATATTATAGGACTAAAATTATAGTAACATAAATAGATTGATTATCAGTTTTTTCTTAAAAATTATAATGACCAAGTCGTTATGATCTTTTATGTAAATATGCTCTTCATATCTTATATAAATCATTAAACTATTTTATATCTAATAAGTTTTTGAGCCCAAAAATTTTTATTTAGGAGGCAAAGGATGAACCGATTAAGAATAAAAGGGGCAAAGTTATACAATTTCTATATCATATTTGTAATATTTTTCAAAGTGAGGGGGCGCATTTGCCCCGCTCCCTAACATGTGGCTCCGCCACTATCATACATACTTTCAAGAATCAAATCTTAAATCATTGATGCTTAAGGGACTTGAACTGCTACTATTTGTATCATTTATGTATCTTTGGAATCTTTTATGTCAACCTAATAACTATTATTCATATTACAAATAATATTTAATTAAGTACAATTAGAGGCACAAGTAATATTTTTCCCCTGTGGAACTCGTTAGTTACTGACCAAACATACTCTTCATTTTCTTAAAAAAATTGGTTGATGCTAAAATGAGTTAAAAAAAATATCATTCATTATAAATACCATGAATTATTCATTTCTGTGATCGTTGATCATCATCATCATCATTTTTTTTTTCCTTCGGTTGCAACCATCAAAAGATAAATACATCTATAACCTATACCGACAATATTCTGGTAGCAGATGATTAAGCCTGGAAATATTTTGCTTTCTTAATCAAAAGTAAAATAAAATGTACGCCCTCCGTCTCAAACTATAAGACATTTTTAAATAAAATTTCACATATTAATAAACCTCATTAAACACAGTTAACAATTTTATTTTTTCAAAATAAAAATGTAAACTTTCAAAAATACCTTTCATTTAATAACCTTAAATCTACACCTAATTAACATTAAATAGAGAGAAATAAAAGGTAATATTAGAATAAGTCTATTTAATAGAATATTAATCTTTTTAAAGTGTCTTATAGTTTGGGATGATAAATTTCTCTCAAAAGTATCTTATAATTTAGGACTGAGGGAGTATTAATTAATTGATTAATTTTATTTTTTAATTTTAATTATTATCTGTTGACAATTTATGGGTTTCAGAACTTGGAGTTGAGATAGGTGCCTCGTAGGCGTCAAGGTTGGTACATCACTCAACAATCAACATATATTTGACTGCTTATTATAATTTTGTTAGTTGTTCTTTTAAATCATTGATTTGTTACATATAACGTGTGTGTATTATAAAATTAACATTTTAAAAGTGTTATAATATTAAATTAAATAATATTATTGAGGATCCTTGCACAGCCTTCTTTTGATTGATTGAATGAATTCTCATTTCCACTAAAAAGTAATATATTATTTAGGATAACATATTCGTTGATCGAGCATTGATTGCAGGGCCAATGCAAGCATATGAATATAATACCCCAAATGTAAATTTTTGGAAATAGAAGGATTAATAATTATTATCAAATAGTATTAATAATTTAAAAAACCAACTCCATAACACTACACGAAAACATGTCTATAAATATAATAAAATAATAAAAAAATAAAAATATAAAACATGCCACATAATAACAAATCATGAACAACACAATTTATCTAATTATCGAAATTCGTACCGTACGTGTGAAAACGTGTTTATTTATTTACCCATACATGTACGCACAACTCCAATTTCAATTGATATAGAATATTAGTTATTGAAGATGATTTATTTTCATTTCAGGATCAACAATCACTTAAATTAATTCTAATTTTTTCCTATGTTGTTATATATGTTCGTTGTTGAAGATTCAACTCTAAGACTAAGTGCCGTATAATTTTCAAACATACACTTAAATAATTCTAGTCAAGTACAGGCTGAGTCTTAGTTTAACAATTCTCTAGAAATTAAAACAATTTTCAAATTAACATACCTTAATTAATTTTGCTTTACAGACTAATAAAAGCAGTCAATCTTAGTCTATTTATAATAATATATATGAAGCCCACCATGACCCACGCATGGAAAATATAGATAGGTAGGGTCATTGGTCAACTTACTATGAATATATAATTATGGTTTATATATCTCTTAAGAGAATAAGGTCGTCAACATTTCATTAGAGTAGTTGTGGTATACACTGGTCCACAAAACATTTAATTTAATTCAATATAAAATACATTTGATGCATGGAAAATGTGATACACCAATATTATATTTGCAAAAGCATATTATTAATTAATTTATTGTGATAAAATATCTCAAAATGTAAGAAAATATTTAATTATTCAATTTTTTATGATAATCAATAAGAAAATAATAATGAACAAAAAGTTTCATCAATTTATATTAATGACTTCTGTTCTGGAAAATTGATTATCCTCATCTTGTTGTTTCCTTTTTTTATGTTAAAAATGGAATTAATTAAATACTTTCTCGCTTATGGATAATGCAAAAGTAATATATATATATATATATATATATTTATTTATTTTTATATTGACTATCACATGTGTCTTTTTTTGTTGGGAAGAAATCATGTTCAAAACACAGTTGAGCGCACATTGTAATCAGATTCAAACCTTATATATATATAGATATATTATATGATATATAATTTTTTTATAATAATATGATACATAATTCTGACTCAATTAAAATGTGAAGATTATAAAATGTTATTTTAATTGTGACAGAATGGGATAATCTTGCAGTTTTGGGGATGTAATATTTAGTCGCACGCGCGGTGTTCAAATATTCCTTATAAATATATTTTAAGCCAAGTATTCTCAGTCATTATCTTTTTTCAGTTGGTCCCCTCTGT